AGTTATTCCCCTAATCAGGAAACCAAGAGGAGTTGGGATTCGAGCGAAGTATCTAGTCCGGCCCCAGAACGCTCCCCCCGGGAATGTAATGCAAGAGGTGAGGTGATGGGGTGGTGGAGGGATGCTAAAGTCGTGAGATGCTGCAGGTAAGACAGCTTTGGTATATATAGGGGTTGCTCAAGAACTGATTTGATGATGGGATAATTGTCAATGACGTATTCGATACTGAAACTTCTGCGCATGCTCCTCCCGAAATTTGTTTACAAAACATCACTAAATCAAAAAGTTACGAATTGCAGAGATTGCGTTGGTCATTCACATCAGATTCAAAATTACAAAATGTATACAAAACGTTTAGAATGTTAGGAAGATGACAGTGTGAAAAGCATAATAAGACCCCCTAAAATATCTCAATGCTTCCATAGATTATGCAACACAAATGTCCACGTATATGTGGTTTGCTACTGTACCTCTTTTATAGCAAGTTCATTCATAAAAACCTCCAGCTTTCCATCCGTCAGTGCAATAATGATGCTGGATGCCCTTGCGCCCTGGGAAGTCATTTGCTCTATTGCCTACAATATATTTACATCTATTATGACCACATAGTAGTTCAATAAATGCTTTTTGATGAGAAAATATGAGATTTTTACCTTTTTTAAACCCTCATGCATATAGGTATCACCAGCAGGTCTGATCTTACTCAGCTGCTGCAGACCACTATCGATGTCCACCCTAAATGCACACACACAATTTTTTTTTAAGCTTTATTCTTTTAATCTGTGGTAAAGAAAAAAATTGACTGTGGTAAGACTCAACATAATGAATGAAATCACACCTGTCTCCAGTGAGAGGCAAGATTATTTCTGCACTAGATGAAAAGACTATGAAGGATACCCTCATTTTCGGGCTAAACAAAGTGAAAACAATCAGTTAAGAAGTGTAAAATCCATTTAAGACAATAAAAAAAATCAGTCTAAATGTTGCTCTTAATATATTTGCTAACAGTACTGCCACTTGGGAATTTAAGAATTTTAGTTATTCCTCAAGTAAAGAAAGACAAAAAAAACTTTGTCTTGAGTGTATCCGGCCCTTTACCCGTTTTATGAGCAAGAAAAATTATACTGTATAATATACACTGTGATTGTTAAGCAGTGCTATGGTTGGTGTAAATTACTACTATGGCACTATTTGAGGTTGACCATTGTGCCCTCATGTCTAAACTTGCATTAACATTTGTGGTATGGTCACCATACCACACACTAATCCAAACAGACATATTACAAACACTGAAGTTAAACATAGTAAACTGAAATTAAGTTATTTTTAGTTTAACACATGTGCAGGAGGTTAGGACTCAAGCAAGTGGTACAAGGCAAGACTTTTAACTCTTTAACCCACCCATCAGCTTTGATTGATGTTAAAAATGAACAGTTTAAGATGTAGTTTAGTTTCTTACCTTACAAAACGATTCGTAAGTTGTTCCACAAATCCATAGATCTCCAGCCAGTTGTCAGACACACTGCCTGACCTAGAATGATGGTGAACACTCAATGCTTTACAAGATAAACAGGGCCATATAAGGGCTCCTGAGAGCTTTAGAAAAAAATAATAAACTGTGGGCTACCTAAAAATACCAGGACAACTAATGAACTCACTGGAGTTATTTTTTTATTAATAATATTTCAGTCAAGCACACAAGTGTGAGATTACGTGTTTGTACATTTTATAAACATACAGCCTATAAAACATAGGCATATAAACATAAAAAGGCACGTCAAACTCACCGATCCAACACAAAATATAAATCAAAGGCTCCATGGCAAGACCCATCTTCTCCTGTCCCGAATGGAGTCAGGAGGGAGAGGCAGAAAAGTTGGAGGACCCAATTCGCTGTAATGGCATGATTGCTGTCTCCTCTCATTCCCGTCAGGTACTACACGTCGTTATTATGGGAATACATCAAACTCAGCAGTGGAAATGCAGTTGACGCGCGTGGAAGAAGCGCGCAGTTCTTTACTCCTGCATGACAGCGCGCGCACCGTCGAACAATACAATGTTTACGAAGCCACTCCTGCTGCGCTCTTCAGGAAATGCTATTCGTTTCATTTCCTAAGATCCATCTCTTCAACTCGAGATTCATTTAATTCCGTTTGTCTTTTCTTTTTTTTTATTCAAAGAGGGTCCGGTTTATAGTGCACATGAATGCATGGGTTAGTGCGCATGCGCTGAATGGGCTGTTGCGCTCTTCAACACTAACAAGATCTTGTGATCTTACAAGGGGACAGGCCAGGGGTCGGGGATAGTTTTGTTGAGACACGAGAGCAGCATAAATCGAATATATTAAAAGGAATTGGCAACAATGTCGCTTTTAAACAGGTAAAATACGATAAACAATATACTGACACAAAATATACACCATGTAGGCTAATTGTGGACTTATTGTGCAAGCTTGAATATTTACAAACAGAAAGACAGCGTGCCTCAGATCTCATGAGATGCTAGAATTATATAAGTTATGTTTTCTATAAAATGTCACATTACTTCAAAATATTTTTGTTACTATTATTGTATCATAATTGTAAACAACTCTAGAATTACAGGGGTGGGGACAGTTTCGACATGGGGCATGATTAGCTAGAGTGATTATATTCATATTACTACATATTCTCAGTTAGACCCTCCTTCAGTCTGAGACAAATCAGGCATATGTGTTTATTCCTTCAGTATAAAACTCAAATTTCTGTCCGCAATTACAGAATTCATAGAAAATCTTGCCATATTAACAATGTACAATTTTAATTTCATCGCAGTTTGAATGTAATTTAATTTAAATAGATGTTTTTTTAAATTAATTAATTCATTTCAAAGTTCAAAAGAATGTGTTTAGTAAAGGTTCAGTCTAGATTTTCAGTAAAAATATTTTTTTAGGTCCAATTATATGGGCAATTTATCACATTTAACCAATTTACATTTAGTCTGTTCACCCAAAAAAAAAAAAATCCAACCTGATGTTTTAGTGTTTATTTTATTATTACATTTTAATGAATGCCCCCCCCCCCCCCCCTGCTCGGGGTCAGTTACAATGTTTGACTTTGTTCAAGTTTAAATTCCCAATAAATGATCATATGTACATACAGTTGCAATCAGAACTATTAAACCCCCTTTAATTTTTTTTTATATTTCCCAAATTATGTTTAACGGAGCAAGGAAATAAATTTTTATAGTATTTCTGATAATATTTAGTGTGTGTGTGTGTGTGTGTGTGTGTGTGTGTGTGTGTGGAGAAAGTCTTATTTGCTTTATTTTGGCTAGAATATTTTTATTGAAAAAATATATAAATAAATAAAACATTTTAAAGTCAAAATGATTAGCCCCTTTAAGCTATATATAGCTGTATAGAAGTGTCTTGAAAAATATCTAGTAAAATATTATTTACTGTCATCATGGCTAGATAAAATAAATAAGTTATTAAAAATAGGTTATCAAACTATTATGTTTAGAAATGTGTTGCAAAAATGTTCTCTCTGTTAACAGAAATTGGGGAGAAAAAATAATAATTCAGGGGGTTTAAAGATTCTGATTGCAACTGTATTAGCAATGTGTGTGGGTGTCCAATAGATGTGGGTATATTGTGTTAAAATATCGGGTTTCCTTAAAAGACTGTCTCGGAAAAAACTAAAGGAAATGCAAAAGGTGTTGCAACTGTCCCCACTCTACCCTACTGGTGATTGTTTTCTAAGGAAATTATTTATTCTTAAGTATTTCTGTAGATTTTAAAAGTAAATTTATATATTCTTTAGTTGCCTATTTCTATAGATTTTAAAAATCAATTTGCTGTTTCACGTTTTCAGTCCTTAAAACTTATGAAACTTACAAAATTAAATGTTGCATGCACTGCAAAAAATATTTTGCTTCAGATAAATAAATGCATAAGAATCTGTATATGTTCACTGTGAAAATAACACAACATATTTTTTACTGTTTATTGAGTTGCTTTTTGTATATAGAGTTACTTTTTCAAACATTGAAGTGTTTTAATATAAACAAAAAGCGTGTTTTACATTCAAATGATTATTATTAGACAGGATGCAGTGATTTTATTAGTTTAATTTCTCTTAGAATTTACAGTTATTTCAGTGGCTTTGGTGCATTTCTCACAACACTATTGACTTTTCTCAAAACAAATAGTCATTTGTGCACATCATATTAGCAGTTTCCTATTATTTCCAACAAATTGCAAATGCTTTTGGAAATGCATCAATTGCTTTCATATAACTATCTGCTGTTTTAAAACACTATCATTTGGATATGTCATGTCAGTCAAAATGAACTAAACTTGTGAATGCAGAACAGTCAATCCACAGATAGATAGATAGATAGATAGATAGATAGATAGATAGATAGATAGATAGATAGATAGATAGATAGATAGATAGATAGATAGATAGATAGATAGATAGATAGATAGACAGACAGACAGATAGATAGATAGATAGATAGATAGATAGATAGATAGATAGATAGATAGATAGATAGATAGATAGATAGATAGATAGATAGATAGATAGATAGGATAGATAGATAGATAGATAGATAGATAGATAGATAGATAGATAGATAGATAGATAGATAGATAGATAGATAGATAGATAGATAGATAGATAGATAGATAGATAGATAGATAGATGGATGGATGGATGAATGATATAACTTAAAGAGCGGACTGTACGTGAAGAGGAACAATAGCCTACAGGCATAGCACTGGTGAGCAATCATTAACGCGTGACCGCACCGCTGTTAATATGACAGTAATGAGCTCATCTCCGCGATGTCAGTTTAGACGTTTGAGCCTGAGATCAGAGCTGGAGATCAGATACACACATCCATGAACGACTCTGACCCAGAACAACTCATATTAGGGACAATATGAGAGGTCAAGGGGGGTCGGGTCTGTGGGCGGAGTCCTGACGTTGTTTTATATGCAGATAAATAATCGCGAGTCATCATAATTTAAGAATCAAAGCTCGGAGCATCCAGGAAAATCAGGAATCACCCCACGACCTGAGAGGAGTTTATTTATGCCGTGGATTAAAATGGTAAGATGCGTTTATGATGCGAATTATAGACACTGCAGGAAAAACAGTGCACCTGTAAATTCTGGGCTTTTTGGTTCCCTAAAGCGTTTTCTTTTTACTTTAATGCAAAGGAAAACCATCTAAAATGCGCTTTTAAATGTTACTTTTCTTACTTTTTATCAACTTAAGTTCTTAAAATTATTTTCTGTACTGCTCTGAGTCATACATCTCTGTTTAAGTAGAACTTGATTCATATCTGTATTCTGAAGTTTTTTTTTTTTTTTTGCTGAGGCATTTGTTCCTATACAAAATTAGCTTATATAGCCTACGTTTTACAACGTCTACAAATAGGGGGGAAAAGTTTTTTTGGCCTCTAAAATGTCCAATGATAATAAAAGGTCCTAATAATAATAATAGCCTATATTCGTCATCATTTTTGGATTTCATGCATTGTTCATATTTGTTAAGCTAGATTGACTAAATAATGGTTTATTTGCATGTTGACACATTTTAGAACACTTAGACAAAATGTTTGCTATTCTTAATTTTTGCAGACATAAAATATAGGCCTACAGGAATGAATTTGATCTGTTCTATGTGGTCATTGTGTCAGGGTTCAGAGGAGAGCGCGCGGTGTCTGCTGGACGCGGCGGCCGCTCAGCGTTGGATCACAGAGACTCTGAGCAGCATCAGGACCGCTCGAGCGGTGCGGGCAGGAGCGGTGCTCGGACCCTGTGCTGGAGCTCACAGCATCGCCTTCATCGCCTGCAAGTGCTCGGACAGACGAGCCGCCGCCTGCGTGCTCCAGGTAATTTTTCGCCCTGTGATTATAATTAACAGAGGAGACCGAGACATGATGACACGATTTTACGCAATGGATGTTCATTAAAAAAAATAACAACCTAAAGCTTGATATAGAAAATCAAAGTTAAAGGCATAATTCACCCCAAAATGAAAATTCATAATTTACTTGCACCTTACAGTTCTAAACTGGTTTAACATTCTTTCGTCTGTTGAAAAGAAAATTTGGAAGAAAGTTGGAAACCCGTGACCATTGAAGTCAATGGTTACAGGTTGTCTGCTTTCTTTAAAACATCATCGTTTGTGTTTAATAGAATGAAGAAACTCATATAAGTTTGGAAACACTTGAGGTTGAGTAAATATTATGAATAGCTTTTCATTTTTTGTTGAACTATCCCTTTAAAACTTCCACCATATGCGAAGGGCAAAAACGAGCTACAGATAGGCTATTTAGGCTATATCTACTGAAATTCTAATTATTAAAAGTCAGCAATATTTAAAAAATTAAACAAGAACTTTAAAAAGTACTAATAACAGGGAAATGAGTATTTTTTGGAAATTGAAATTTTAAAATAACATTTAAAAAAATTGGATCTAAAACTTTTTTATCTTGACATTAATATTTGCCTTTAATGCTTTTAAAAAATAATAATATAGATGATTGTTTATTAGTAATATTCTGTTTAAACATTTGATTCTATTTTAAAGAAAAATAGAGGATACATTCCTAAAGAAAAAAAGAGTGTAATGTTTGCCTATTACAAAAAATATAATATAGAATTGTAGAAATCAAACTGAAGAGAATTATTCTAATTTTGAACTGCAAAATACTCCTGCAATATTTTTCATATAATTGCAGTTTGGAAAGAAAACCTTACAGTTATTCAAATATAGCTCTTGTGGCAACTTTACCATGTTTCATCAAGTACACGTCTAATAGTCTAAAAATAATGCTAATGTAAGTATATGAAGCTATTTTCTGTATTAGGGTACAAATAATATGCAAATATGTGGGGTCATGGTGGTGCAGTGGGTAGCATGATTGTCTTAAAGCAAGAAGGTCGTTGGTTCGAGCCTCAGCTAGGCAAGTTGGCATTTTTGTGTGGAGTTGTCATGGTCTGCCCGTGTTTGCGTGGGTTTCCTCCAGGTGCTCCGGTATCCCCCACAGTCCAAAGACATGTGCTTTAGGTGAATTGAATAAGCTACATTGACCATAGTGTATGTGTGTAAAAGAGTTCTTATGGGTGTTTCCCAGGGTTGGGCTGCAGCTGAAAGGGCATCCGCTGTGTGAAATATATGCTGGATAAGTTGGCGTTTCATTCCACTGTGGCGACTGCTTATTAATAAAAGGACTAAGATGAAAAGAAAATGAATGAATAATATTTGTTTGAATTTTAATATCCTAAAATATGTTCTTTTGCATTGCTCAGATCGACCCATCAGAATCCAGTGAATATCTGCAAATGGTTCAGTCTGCAAGGAATTCGGAGGAACAAAATCTAGAGGCGTATATGAAGAACGGACATCTCTATTTTAGAGCCATAAAGGACATTCCTGAACACACAGAGCTTTTGGCTTGGTATGGGAGAGATCTAGCCAAACTGCTTGGCCTCAGCACTGAACGAAAGAACACAACAGGTTTGAATGCATTATATATTTATATACCTGCATTATATATTGAATGTAATGTTTAATTCCTAAATATATCAGTGTTTTTGAACAACTAGGCTGGGTGAATAATTCAATGACTTACCAGAAAATAATTGCTTATTGTGTTCCTAATTACGTCAGTGCATTCGAACTAATCAAATGAGTATACAATTTAACGACTCACCAATTAAGAGAGTGCATTTGAATGAATCAATCCAGTGAAAAATTCAGCAACTCACTAATTAAGAAAATCATTTGTTTGATTCCTGAATATGTCATTGTATTTGAACAGATTGATGTATAAATTCAGCGACTCTGAAAGTAAGACAGTGGCTTATCTTGCTGGTGAATACATCAGTGAATTCAGATGAGTGAATAATAGACACTTTTCACATTTCCGGGTTTCTCCGTAGCAGAAGTCGTCATAGTTAGGAAAACATAGAAAGTTGGAAAAATCTTATTTGCTTAAGTAATTAAATAAAAACTCCACGATGATGTTATAAAGAAAAATAATTGTGTAAGACTGATGACGGCAGCTAGAGAAGAGAATAACATCAAATTTACTCTCAGCCCCATAGACGCTGCATTAGAAACCCATCGCATAAGCGGTAATTCGTTTTTTTGTATTTTGAAGCAAATATGATATGATACATACATAAATACATAAAAATGTTCATACTGGGCGAGGCAGTGGCGCAGTAGGTAGTGCTCTGCTGTCGCCTCACAGCAAGAAGGTCGCTGGGTCGCTGGTTCGAACTTCGGCTCAGTTGGCGTTTCTGTGTGGAGTTTGCATGTTCTCCCTGCCTTTGCGTGGGTTTCCTCCGGGTGCTCCGGTTTCCCCCACAGTCCAAAGACATGTGGTACAGGTGAATTGGGTAGGCTAAATTGTCCGTAGTGTATGAGTTTGTGTGTGAATGTGTGTGTGTGTGTATATTTCCCAGAGATGGGTTGCGGCTGCAAGGGCATCCGCTGTGTAAAAACTTGCTGGATAAGTTGGCGGTTCACTCCGCTGTGGCGACCCCGGATTTATAAAGGGACTAAGCCGACAAGAAACTGAATAAATGAATGTTCTACTTTTAAAGATTTAAGATTACGTTGACCGTTAAACGAGTCATAACAGTCTTGTGAAAAGGGTCCATTCGGCAGTTAAGAGAGTCTCTGGTTTTTGTATGTGAATATGTTAGTGTACTTTAACAAACTGGTTCAGTGAATAATTCAGCGACTCACCAAATGAGATGTTTGTTTGTTTGTTTTCATTTGTGAATTTATGTTTTTTAAACAAAATGCTTGGACAGTCACCTATTTTTTTTTTAAATAACTCTGTGTATTTGATCGAAACGGTTAAGTGATTATTTCATTAGCTATGTTTCCATCCAAAAATGCAAATTAACTTCATGCGCAAAAGTGGAATATCGCATAAAAGACATGCAAATAAAGCAGCGTTTCCATCCAATGAGTCAAAGCAAACAAAATCATCACTTTCTGATTAACTGCCGCCAAATATCAACAGTAAAAACGGAATTTGCTGTAATCAATCTTTTCTTTATTTAACAAATGACTTGCGTTTAAAGGCGTGAGACACGGAGCACAGACACTCTAGTAATTAATTCTGGAGGTTATTAATAATATGATAACACTAATATTGAAATGGTTATGGCATTTTAGAATGACCAAAACAACATTTCAGATGTTTTATAATGTGCTCAGACTGCTGGTTTGTCCATTCACACAGATTTTTATCATCACATGATCTCTTATAACAAAATCACATGACCTTTTTTAATGCGCATAGACGCATACTGGAATTTGTTTGGTAAAAGTGTTCCCATCATAGTTTATGCGTATCTTTTTTATCGCATAAAAGTTTATCCTACTCAGTTATGCGCATACGTTTTTTATGCGCATTTTCAAAATTCATGCGCATCTTGGCATTTCCAACAACCGATTTTATTATGCGCATAAAAATAGGGGGATGGAAACGTAGCTAATAGCCCCTTTCACACATACAGACCTTTCCGAAAAATTACCGGCAATTACCGGAGGATGTGTGAACAGGCCTTTTCTGAAAATACAGGTAAATTCGTTAAGGCAATAAGTACATTATAGATAATTTGCTGGAATGCTGCATTTTGCCAGAAAGAGTGCGTTCACTATTAGAACATTCAGACGCACATCTGTGCTGTTTATGAAAATAAAAACCTTCAAATATTTTTTCAGACATAATTAGCTGCTAGATGTTTCTATGTTCCTTCTTAATGCCAACTGTGTAAAACATTATCGATAAAATGCTTATGATAAACCGCTGTTTGTTTACCTTTAAGCTCTGCTTCAGTTGCTTAATGAACCTACAATAAAGTACAATTACTCCCTTTCTCTTTTAGGGTTCATTTGCTTTCAGTGCAAACAGAAATTCCTCTTTGAATTCCCTCTTCTGGCACACCAGAGGTTCTTCTGCACAGAGAAACCCACAAACTTTCTAAATACATTCACCAGGCCCGAAATCCATCCACAGAGTAACAAACCCACCACAGACTTTCACAACTTAGCACGAGAGCTGGAGAACTGCAGGAAAAACAAAGATACAAAAAACACCAAACGAAGACATTCTCTGGAATCAGACTCAGATGAGAGCGACAGCGAACCCTCATCGTTGGATGGAGATAAAAAGGTATCAGTGAAAAGGTTTCGTCTAAATGGAGTGAATAGCCATTCCTGGTCGTCATCCAGCAAAACGTCTTTCAGCGGGAGTTCAAATTCTCAGTTCAGCCCAACAAAGAGCCATGACAACCCCACAGCAGATCCAGACAGCGAGGATTTAAGGTGTAACAAAAGAGTAACAAAGTCTGAATTCTCCTCAAAAAAGTTGCCTGATGTTCCAGATGACCTGAAAAGTGCATTTAAGCAACCTCCTCGCATAACATCCCATATCCCACTTCTATCAGCCAGTTTTCCCAAAAACTCAACATCAGTCCTTCCCAACATTCTACCTCTCAACTTCCAGAGCTCTACTGTTCTATATAAGGAAATTCCCAAACAGTTGGCTCTCATTCCCAGTGCAAACCTTTGGCCTAAAACATCCCGACAGCCGCCTACTCCTCCTCTTCAGTCGCTGTTACCTCGCCCTCTGTCGTCTTCTATTGGTTTACCCATGCAAAACTGGTGTGCTAAATGTAATATCTCCTTCCATATGACTTCAGACCTGGTGCAGCACATGAGGTCCCACCACAAGACGGCGCTGTCTGTCGAGAAACAAAACAGACGAGGAGACGAAAGGCTGAAGTGCCAAATATGCAACGAGGCGTTCAGAGAGCGCCATCATCTCTCACGTCACATGACCTCTCATATGTAGCCCATGAGAAAAAAACATCGCACAAAAACTTAGTAAACAGAAATAATATATCATGAAGTGGGTAACTTGTGTGTGCCCTAATGCTATTTAAGGGTGTACACCACAGGTGTCAAACTGGAGGGCCATAGCTCTGCACAGTTTTGCTCCAACCTTAATTAAACACACCTGATCCAATTAATTGTCCTTCAGGCTTGTTTGGAACGAACAAGTAGGTGTGTTGGACCAGATATTGGAACTAAACAGTGCAGGGCTTGATACCCCATGAGGTTACAAGAGAGCATTTGAAAAGGGCAGAAAATAGATTATTCTTGCTAAAAAATAATTTAATTTATTTAAGTAATTATTTACTATAAGTTATTTACTATTTAATCATTTAGTATTTAAATATAGTAATTTAAGAATTTTAAAAAGTGATTTCAGACTCAGACATGCAAACCCTGAAAAGTCTTAAAACTACCTACTACAAGTAGCTTTTCTTTTTGTTTTGTAGGTGTGTTTTAAAAATGAATATGATTAGATGGTTTTAGAATTAAGTAATAGTGTTTGTATTATTATTAAATAAAATATTTGGGTAACTCTGCCAAAAAATAGCCAATTTATTTGATATTTTTAAAAATATATTTTTAATAACACTGTATTTTATCTTTCGTGCCCATTTGGGATGTGTGTTAACTAATTTTGTGGGGGGGGATGCTGTATAAATGAATATAGTTCAATGCTATTAGTTTTATTTTTAATAAAATAAAAGCAAAGCTTTTTGTGAATATTTGTATGTCCTTCTGTTCATTGTATTATTTGGACATTGAATTGGTACTGGTCACTTTTCATGCGTTTATTGATGCATATTAATTTCTGATATAACACTTTTATTTATTCTAAAACCCCTTTGGGTTGTGAATTAGATTAAAAGTAAAATAACTGATTCAAATGTACTTAAAATGAATTTGTGCTGTTTTATTTTTAATAAAAAGAAATGTAGGCAAATATTTTCAGAATATTTGCATTATTGGGATTCTGAATTGTCACTGGAGCTCTTTCATACATTTCTTCGCATTTTGATGTGTGACATGAAAAAGCATTCAGTAAATAAATGCACTTGATTGCCAATTGATTAGTATATTTAGTAGATAGAATCTATTAACGTTTTGTGAGTATTGGTATTTAACACCCAAATAGTCACATTTTAACTGCACATAATTTAAAAATTTTTGTATTGTAAAATAATTGATATTTAGGATTTTACATTCAAACAAATGATTTATGAGGTTAATATTTCCCCCTCCATCCTAATACATAGTTCTGGTTTTGTAAAAGAAAATGATGCTATGTATATGTTTATGTTTATGTGTTAACTGGAAATAAAACTATTTTAAACATCTTGCCATTGTACCCATTTATTTAAATAACTTACATTTAGAAGTCTATCAGCATTAGCTACTGTAGATTTTAGCCGCAATACTAGTTAGGACACTATGTGGCACCAGAGTACTTAATATCCATCTGTACACTAACAAATAAATATTCCATATGTATACTTAAGCTATAAACAAAAGTAGGTAATGCTGTCGCCTCACAGCAAGAAGATCGTTGATGGAATAATCTTCCAATTTCCACTCCGCCTGCAAATACACTGGTATCCTTTAAGCAACAACTATAAACCCATCTCTTCCAAGAACACCTAAACCCTGGTGAATAATACCAAAACCATTCATAAGGAGCACAGTCTTTCTCTCTCTTTCTTTCAAACGCCTAATCTAGCACTAAATTCTCTTAGCACAAACAAGTTACTTTGAATAACTAGCACTTATGTATGTATGTATTGCCTCTTCTTGTTGAATTGCTGAATACCTCCTCAATTTTAAGTTGCTTTGGACAAAAGCGTCTACTAAATGACTTAAAGTAAAAGAAAATACATATAACAAGTGAATGAATTAGAAATAATAACATGTATGAAAAAACACAACTCAACCAACTGCTTATTTCAGAGATACTTTACCGGGAAACATGTACACAGGTCACACAAAAACTATAACACACATAAAAATATCTCTTAATATTGTAACAAATATGTTCAGTACACAAACTATCACCACTTACCAAAAGCAAAAACGAAACATGATGCAATAATAGAACAGGTCAGCCAGCGACATGCTCTCAATTCACCCAGAAGATCTATATAGCATGATTATAACACATTTCATGAAGGTACGTGAGGTAAATGAGATGAATATGATTCTGTTAGCATATTGTTACTGTCACGATGAGAATCCAGCCTCAATTTCAGCACAGAGGGAAAAAAAACTAGTGTAATGATAATTAAAGTCCTTCAAAGTCTTCAGTGCCATCAGTCCTAGTTTCAGGACACAATCCCAAAGTTCACCTTTCACATTCGACTGAGAGATGACCTGCAGAAAAGAGAAACAGATGATATTCAGTACTGAGCATTTATATAGACTACAAAAAGGTCACTTTTTTTTTAAAGGGGCTTCATGTGTGCTTGCTTATAATGTTTAGGAAAAAGCCTAAAGTACTGTAGTTGTGATGTAAAATCAATGAAAAGTGGCAAATTCAGACGGTAGTCTCAAATACATCAGCAGATCTATATAGTTTATGGTCTTAAATACACTTTATAATTAGAGCTCATTTGTTCGCATAAAGCTTGCCATTGCAGAGCTTGTGCAAACATATCCAAATCACTGAGATCAGATGCTTTTTAAACCGCTGTTCTGACATCTGGGGTGCCCTTCCTAAAACCACCGTTAGCTAACTCAAGTTGCAAGTTCTGTTGTTACAAATATAGTTTGTTGATTTGGCATTTCCCAAATCCATCGTTTGTAGTGCACTTTGAAAACATTTATGACATTTTGAACACAGCCATGGCTCATGGCGAAAGCTTTAAGCAGGTCGCACACCAGAAGCGCCGCTCGGCGCCACGCATTTTAGAATTCTAAACATAGGTTTCTATCAGCATACTCACACCGGCACCGTAAGTCGGCGGCTGTCGGCTGCACCCGGCCATGGCTTAGGACGCAGTTCATTTTTCAGCCGCGCCACAGAGCGCCATCTGATTAGTTTCATGTTAAATATCATGTGAATGTGCGCGTCTGGTGTGTGATACTTTAAACTGTCATGTGCGCGCCGTGTCGCGGCGCTTCTGGTGTGCGACCTGCTTTAGGGGACCTATTATTTAAATAGGAATTCACGTTACGTCTCCAAAGCTTGTGAAAACAAACATATATAGCACATGTTAGTGGTTTAATTTATAGTAGGTTATTTATTAAGAAATGCATCTGTATTGTAGGCCTATAAGACATATATGGAACATTTCTGCAGTGGTTTGAATGTGTCAAATTGTAAAAGTAATAAAAAAAAAAATATATATATATATATATATATATACATACTGTACTTTATATGATTTATATAGGCTAGGAGATCAGAATACGTGTTAGTGTAGTGATTTTGTATGGAATATTCTCAATAATATTTGTAAAGGAAACATATATAGGTCCTATGTGTCATTTACATAGCAAATAGTTTAATTAATATGATAAACGAGTGCATGTTTTTACCAAAATTAACTAATGTTAGTTTTTTTTATGCGTGTGCGTGTAAAAAAATATAATTTGCCCAAAAAATGATGGGGTATTTCTCTAAAGTAGTTACTCCACCCGGTTTAGAATGCCATTATAGACATTTTACGTTGTAACTAATGTGGTTCAAACGGTGGATCTGCGACAGAGAAATTATGGTTATGGGAAATACTCGTCACTACATTGTTCTTTTCCCAACTTATGCATCATACTATGATAGCCACGAGTTATGTTGTTGTTTTGGAAATGTACCCCTGGATGTAAACTGATACTCCTGTACACAGTTCATCAGTGCAGTTCACATAATAGTCACTGGTGTCGCTAATAACAATGATTTTATTTTCTAAATAATTTTCGTATTTTCTATTTACGAAAATTATTTAGAAATCTAAATTCAAAATCTCAATCTCAATTCTACCCCTTAAGCCTGGTTTATACTTTTGCATCAAGTGATCGGCGTGACCCACGGTGCATGCAACGTGCGTAGCTGTGCATTCATATTTCTATGCGCTGTTTCTGTCGCTCTGCAATAACACTTCCAAAACGCTAGTTGGCAGTTAGGTAATTATGTTCCACTGTGTTGAGTTTCTTCGTTGGTGTTTTGTTTTTTCTGAACGCTTCCTTAATGTACAAGGGGTTCAAACTGGATCATTTTGATTCAGGAATCGGCAGACGTGCAAGCCGACCAATCATAGAGCTTGCGCTACGCGTTGTTGTGATGTGTAGTCACATTTTTTGAGAGGTGCGCATCAGTTACGCCAACGGCCACGGCTATGCGTCCACGCGTAGGCTGCGCCGTAGCAAACGTCTGCGCTTGATGCAGAAGTATAAATTAGCCTTTAGCTAATAAAAAAGCATAATGAGAATCAGCGGTGTGTACTCTATTGTTGTTTATTCGCATGTAGAGTCTTAAGGCCTGTGTACACGGCAACGATTTTAGCTTATGACTAAACAGAGGGCGCCAGTTTGAGTGTGCACACCAACATGCAAACCACCAGATGTAAAAGTGTCATTTTTAATATGATGTTCGACAGCAATGAAAAAAATTGTGTCAAGAGAAAGTTGTTATGGAGAGGAACTGCAAATGAAATAAGATCTGATGCTGTGAGTGTCAGAAACATACAGTAACACAGCGCCACCTTGTGGCATTTCTGTTTTTCATTAAGCACCATCCAACTTCAGGGAGTGATTTTGCACATTCACTCTGCTCATCGCCAGTGACCATCACTTGGGATTGAATGCCATAAAATTTCTCTAAAAACATTTGTGTGCACCAGCCTTAAACCTGTGGAAAGTGAAAGGGGTGCCATTTCCTCTCTCTACTTGAAAATAATGAACTTGAGTGTGACATGCTATGTGAAAGACTAGTACACCTTTCTTCCTTTATGTGCAAGCATGATATTGATAGCAACTTTCTATGATTCTACCAAGTGTAAGCAGTGGAAACATAAGCCTGATCAGGCTATACTAGTTTAAACTGTAAGTAGAAATGAGACAAAAAACAAGGGTTTTCAGAGAAGAGTTCAGACCTGAGGGAACGGCGTGTGTCTCTCTCCAAGTTGTTTTCAGGGCCTTCACTCTCATATGATGCTAGCTGAAGCTCTGTAATGAAATAAAAAATATTTTCACAAGTTCAATAAATTCATCCAAAACGACTTTGCAGACATTTTTGAAAAAGTAGTTGTTGGCATCCGTTTTATTTTCCATCTCAATTATGATTAGATGCCTTTCGTAGATTTGTTTGCATACCGGTTTAGTGCTGTCACATGTCTGAAAAACTACATTTGAATTTATTTTTTAAATATTAGCAAACATCGAATGTTCTAATTCTAAAAACAATACTGGTCAATACCTGGGGTCTGTTCTTCGTAGTTGGATTATTCAGTTAGCTGGATTTGTATATTGACGATTTGACATGATCCAGAATTGTTTAGTTCTTCAAAATTCATTTTAGATTTGTTGTCATAGCAACAGTTCTGGTAGCTTAAACCTGGTCGGGAGCAGGCTCATTTATATAAACAGGATTAGAAAGGGTCATTTCAAGCAAAGATAATACTGAAAGTAGTTATATACACTTGGCAAAATAGTAAACATAAAGTAAAAAAAAAAATACAATGAAACGTATGCACTCTGTACTCCAAAATAAAGTACAAAGATTGCCACCTGGTGGT